TGCTCAGGGGTGACTATTGGTGATTTCCGAAATAGGTCGACATCTTTTTCAAAGATTGCATCATGATTTTCTAAAAACGAGGCAATATTCGATTATTAGACACAATAGTTGATCTCCCGCATTTATGCTTAGGAGCAAATACTATCGGTCTCAATAAACGAATACCCTTTTCAACTTTGCATCCGTAATATTTTCAAATTAAATAAAGATCGAACTCAAACTTTCTGATTTTAAATATAGTATAATCAACTAGGTACCAATTTTTGGGCGCTTGTGGGGGTGCTAATCCTTCCCCACGCGTAACTGGCTCCCAAACCTAATTTCTAGAATTTTGCATACCTTAAACTTGGTATTTTGATAAAAATAAAATATTTTATTAAAATCACTCGGTTTTTACGGTGTCCCAATCGCACCTTAAATGATTGGTGGCGATTCCTCACATTTCGAAAATTATTTTCAAAGAGAAAATCCCAGAGTCGGTATCGGTCTTTTCCCCGCCCGGGTGAAAAACGGTGTCGACGCCGATTACTCAAATCGATTGCTCGGCCTTTAAAATTTATTAATGATTAATATTTTCTAAAAATTACTTTAGGTATAATAATTTAAATAATAGGGTTTTTGTGTTATTTTGTCCTCAACTGTAGAAATTATCAATTTAGGTACTTAAGCTTCTAAGTCTTTTAGAACTCGATATTTTAGACATTGACCTTTCAGTCCCCGAATTTTGATTAAAGCCTTAATATTGACATAATTAAATAGGCTAAATAGAGCATCCACTTTTAGTTAGATTTCAAACTAGTCTTCTAATTTGGGGGATAATTTGAGTTGGCCCTCGCCTAAATGCTCGAGGGACCATCAGGATTATACGATTCGATAATTGGTTAAAATTAAATAGGATTAATATTAGAGCCTACGTTGTTAGGTTTGATCTCCCTAGGTTCCTTAATTTTTGTAATTTGACACTTTATGCTAGAAAAAGCCTTTAATTTACCTTAGCTTAATTAGGATTAAATAAAAATTTGTTTGATTGCATTATTTTTTTAAACCTAAGGCAATGTTCACTTATTAGGGAATTAATGGTATATCTCCCGCAAGTATGCTCAGGGAGTGACTACTGGTGATTCCCGAAATAGGTCGACATCCTTCTCAAAGACCATATCATAATTTTCTAAACACGAGGCAATATTCAGTTATTAGACACAATAGTTGATCTCTCGCATTTACGCTTGGGAACGAATGCTATCAGTCACGATAAACGAATGCCCTTTTCAGCTTTGCATCCGTAATGATTTTCAATTTAAATAAAGATCAAACTCAAAATTTTCGATTTTAAATATAGGATAACCAACTAGGTACCAATTTCTGGGCGCTTGTGTGGGTGCTAATCCTTCCCCACGCATAACCGAATCTTGAACCCGATTTATGGATTTTCGTAAACCTTACAACTCGATATTTTGATAAAAAAATAAAATGTTTTATTAAAATCACCCGGTTTTTATGATGTCCCAAACGCACCTTAAATGATTGGTGGCGGCTCCTCACATTTCGAAAATTCCTTTCAAAGAGAAAACCCTTGAGTCGGTATCGGTATTCCCCCGCTCGAGCGGAAAACGATGTCAACACTTTAAGATCTTTATATATTAAAGATCAATTTTGAAAATTTTGAGTTATTGGAGTTGTAATTTATAACTTGACTTGAACTTGAATATTTTTCGAGCCGAGTTTATGAAATTACAACTTGAAGTCAATTCGAGTCAAAAAATTTTGTTGAGTCTAGTCGAAAAGAATTAATTTTTCAAATTAAGTCGAGTTTTGCTCAACCCTAAAAATATTATCCTTTTCCACTATGGTGGATAATGCTTACAAGTTGCATGCATTTCTCAGGACAATTATCTTATAATATTTAAAGATGATTATTTAATTAAGTCGAGGTAAATTATATAATTCTTTTTGATTTAATCGAGTTGATAATTTATACTTTATCATTTTCATATTATTTGGATTTTTTAGTCAAGTCAAATTTATGAAATTCACATTGAGTCGAGTCAAGTTTATTCGAGTTTCTAATTAAATTTAATTATAAATATTTATAAAATTATGATACATATTGATTCTAATTTAATGACTTTATATATATATATATATATATATATATTACATATTGCAATGTTATTTAATAAATGAAATACTATGTTATAAAATATATTTATAATGTTATTTTAAAAAAAGATATTTTGAGACAAAGTATTGATGGACGTATAATAGAGTCAATTAATTGATGGGAAGAAATAAATTACAAACTATTACAATGTTGAATAAAATATAAAGTTGTGAGACTAAATTGAAAAAAATAGTAAATTTACTAAAAAAATAAGAATTGAAATTATATATATATATTCTATAGCGTTTAGATGAGCATTTAATTTAAATTTGGTCAAAATAGAGTTGAGCCAATTAATTTGTGAAGTTTACCTTTCAACCATAAAAAAAATTACGACAATTCGTATTTAGGATCTCTAATTTTGGCTTGAAATCTGCTTTAATTCTTGATTTAATTTCCGTTTGACTTGCCTTGTATATTATATTATTAGATTATTTAGGTCACTAAATTTAGGAGTGTAATACCAGTGTATGCTAGCTTAATATTTCCTTATAAAATATGTTAATAATGTATTTATATATGTTAGATATACGTGTATGTTTTTTGTTTTTGAGTATGCCTTTTATGTATTTAGTTATTGATTGAATTTCAGTTTGACTTTCCATGTATATTAAATACATTCTTTTCGCTTTATACCTAAATTTTAGTTTACAAGTTTACGTGTATATATATATGTGTGTGGCATGTTATTTTTGTTTGATACGTTAACTAGTAAATAATATTTGCATGTTAGTAATTATATTTATTAATTAAATATGTGTATAAATATATGTAGATAGCGCATGGTACCTATGGCATATTCATTTATATGTTTTCTTAGATAGTATGTTATAATGTCTTTACATGGGTATATAATATTTCTATATATGTTTTTTTACTTTGTGCATATGATTTGTAATATGTATATTTCTCATTATATAAATATATGTTTTATAACGTTATTATACTCACTAATGCATGTATATTAGTACGTATGTATTATGATTTTTTTAATAATAAGTATATTTCGTAATTATATTTTTACTTAGCATGTGTATAGAATATGAAAATATTTTTGTTAGTTTCATGCCTCATGTATGATATCCCATAGGCCTAGCTTGATTTAAATTTTATAATTTGACCATGGGTAATGCGTTCTATATTATCGTGAAGGATTGCCTCACGGTTCGAGGGTCCAACCTGATGTTATGGAATAAAAGTAGCATCCTATTCAATATCACCTAAAATTGATAATGTGTAAAAATTGACAATACCAAGGGGAAAGAGATGTATTCATTTATTTAAACTGATGGAGAAAAAGTCGTTTATGATGCAAATGCTTTTTCACGTCTTTTTAAATATTTGATTATTCTTTATCTCCTTTTAAGGCTTGGCAATTTATTAATTAGATCGAGTTTACATTTGCAAGTCCGATGTACTTATTTCTCTTTAATTTTCTTAAATATATCTGAAATAATTGTTTAAAATTTCTTAGAGAAGCTTTGATGTTCTGATATTTCTGTTTGAGTGATGAAAGGTTGTTTCCATGTTCGAAAAATAAAAACATGTTCCTCCAAAAACTAGAAATAAAGGAACATTACTTCTTTTTTTCTTTTTTTTAGTATAGAATCAATAAATTGAGATTTGTTTGGTCACTAATAAAGGGATCTTTAATTAAGTTAAATTCAAATTTGTGAATCCTATTGCAAAGACAACAACATAATCGATTAGGTACTGATTTTAGAGCATTGCGGTAGTGCTAACACTTTCTCATATGTAACCGACTCCGAACTCATTTTTTGATTAAACAGGCTGAAAATTGTTGTTTAAATAAAATTAAAATCAAGTTTTATTAAAATAATAAAATATTTTGGGTGATCCAATCACACCCTAAAACAAATTGGTAACTACTCAAATCGATTTTTTATAAAGAAAAATTTAAATTAATCGAGGCAAGATATAAAATCATTTTTTTAAATCGTTTCGAGATAATTATTGTTTGAATTTTTCTTAATGGTGAACTCTAGTTAACGTGTAACAAAATTATTAAATTCCCATGGTAAACTGGTAATATATAGATGGATTATGGAACATGTGCAAGGCATGAACAAGAGTCGGAAGATTTTACCCTTATACCGCGAAACAATGGTGAAGAAGGCTACTACTTTGAAAAGGGACAATTAACAGGCTTCCTTTAGAGGAAATGAGAAATACTTTACCCTAAACCAATACTAAAGGCATACATAGGAAAGGCATACATAAGGGACAAAAGCATTAGATAAATATTCTATATTAGAATGCACCCAAAAGCTTTAACATACCGACAAAGCAGACCCGTATACATACAAGTGTGGTACGTGACACGTATTATGATTTTAAAATTTGGGGTTTAACACAAGTATTATTTAGCTTCATCCATATATGCAACCTTTATACTTAGTGATATTTTTGTTCGAATAGAAAACAAATTTTTCATTTGATTCTTAAGAAAGTGATAGAAGAAATTACAAAGGAAGATTTTAACGGTATCTTTAATCGTTTATCCTTCATAATTTTAAATTAAACAAAACACGACTTATAGGATGGGCATAGACAAAGTATTTCCCATGCAACTGATGATATGAAACTAAATATGTATAAAACCCTAACCCTTCTTTCCATTTTACCCTAGAGTTTGAACACCACCAACAGCCCACAAAATCATGTAGAGACACTATGAAAATAAAGGAAGAAAATCTTGGTGAAAAAGATCTATGTTTCCCCTTCACCCCTGATGGTTCATCAGGGGAGATAAAAGAAAACAATGCCCTTCTCATTACCTAAATGATGTACAACTGAAAGCTAAAAAGGGATTCAAATTTCAGACTTGTTTTCTGTTCTTCCTTCGGGCCATGATCATGACCTTATCATCATCCTTTGATGTAGTGGTCTCGTCGTGTGATTGTCTGCCAACGAGCCTTGGTCCGGAGTTGTTGAAACCATCTCGTGCCGGGGAATAAACCACCGGCAAGTACTCGTTTGTATGACACCTGAACACTGAGTCCTGTAACTTCTCTTTCAATTCATCTTTTCCCTGCAGAATGAATAAGAGAATGGCGTGAAAAAACAGCTACCATCATGGTTTTCAGAACCGGACCTGTTAGCGAACCGATTATACTACGGTTCACTAGTTCAACTGGTCGAACCGGTCCGACCGGTCGGAAGAACCGGACGACATCATAATTATTTAAAAAATTAAATAAAAATACTAAAAATATTTAATAAAAAATAATTTTTTATATCAAAGTCATATTCAAAGCAAGTCATAACATATATAAATTAAAAACCATAAAATCAAGTGACACAAAATGATTCAAATTAACTACGACTTAATATTTAAGGTAAAACATATTAAATAATAAATATAATTATATAACTATAATTAAAAAATAAATTTGGAGCTAAAAAAATCATAACAAAATGATATTGTTTGGTTTAATTTTTTTTAAAAACAATCTCACATGGCTAAGAAACATAGAAGAGCATCCAAAAAGTCTAAAGAGTAAAAATATGATAACAAAACAATCTCACATTACTAAGAAACATAAAGAGCATCACAACTAACTTCTATAAATAATAGAGGTAATTTGACATTAAAAATCATGGAGCCTTTTGGTGAGCATTGAGTGAACTATTCTTTCACTTCAATCAAGCTCGAATTTTAGGCTTCAATTGAGCTTCTAAATTTTTTTTTAGTTCAAGCCTTTTTGAGTTCAAGTTTCAATATTATATTTCGAGTTCAAGTTGAACTTGATAATTTTTAACTTGTGAGTTTAAGTGGAGTTGGGCTTACTTTTAAAGTTTTCAAGTTCGAGTCGAGCTCAGCAATACTCGAGTTCGACTTAGCTCGTTTAACAAACGACGTTTGGTTTAATTTTTTTTTAAAAAACAAAATTTCTGGTTTTTTTCGGTTTTTAGCCGGTCCGGTTCGAACGGTTCAACAGTTCTGGCCGGTTCACTAATAACGGTTCTAGCCGGTTCACTAGTAGCGGTTCAATCGGTTTAGATTAAACCGGACTAGACAACGATTCCGATTGAACCGGCCGATCCGGTCCGATTTTCAAGACAATGGCTACCATGCCCACCTGCTAACGTATTCAATGGGAGATGACAAGCTTTTACCTGGAATTTTGCAACATCAATTTCACAAACTTTCTTTCTGCTATCACCACACCTCCATTCTCGGTTGTTCCAGGCTCTATAAAATCTTGATGCAGCAATGGGACTCGTGAAATTGACAAAAGCAAATCCCAGATTCAAGTGAAACCTGAACAAAATCGTCATTAGGCCAACATTGTATTGGAAAGAACATAAATAATGATATTACAGGGCAAAGATGAAAAATAAAGATTACCCAAAATCCATTTGCAGATAAAGGAAATCATATGCAGATTTGCAGAAATAAGACCCTGGCTGAGCTTTCGTATTTTCAGTTCGACAGTGATCATCCAGTTTCCTTTGCAAATCAATCCTCCTGTTTATTTATTAAAATTTAAAAGAAATGTATCCAAGTTAGTAAAGAAACTTGTAGCATCTACAATTACTCAATGACCATGCACATGCAGTCAAATTCATGGTGCAATGCATTCTAACCTATGTATGCGTTAGAATAAAACAAATGGCAAAACCAAAGAAACTTCACAAGAGAAAGAAAGACTACTGGAAGCTATTGGGGATGTTTTTGATCATGACTGAAGTATTTCCATGGAGTTTTGGTTGTTCCTCAGCAGTTACATGAAAATGATCTGAACTAGCTTTGGTCTTCTCAGCATCTGATTTTTTGACCCGAACTTGTTGGCTATGCATGGGAATCGGATACTGCCTCGCCGACTTCAACCTAGGAGGAAGAAACCTCCGTTTACTTCTCTTCTTTCTCCCAACAATCCGCCCATAACTATAGTTTATCTCATTGTATTGAATATAATTTGTCCCATTCAACACTCCACTCCATGGAAATGGCTGCATTTCGGTGCAATATAGGTTTAAATGCTCCTGGGGATAGAAATAAGGCGACTCAAAGGATGAAAAGACTTGCTGTTGGACAATTGGTCGTATGAACTGAGGTTTGTAGCTTGTAGCTAATGGATTTAAGCGCTTAAAATTTTAGACTTTCGCTGGTGAAGATGGAGGAGACATGTTTCAAAGCTTTGGAGAAGGAAGAAGGAAGAAACAACTTTTTTGTTTAGGCGGAGGAACAAATACAAATACAAAAATTATTTATGGATAAGTCATAAAGGATGGTTCGGTATAAGAAGAAAATTGGGAGGAGGAAGAAGACATGAGAAGATGAAAAAAAATGGAAGATTTTGTTCAGCTTAGAAGCATGGCAAAGGCAAGTTTGCCGGTGGTGAAGTTTCACCGTTTCGGCTAAGGGAATCTGTGTAATGATGAACATTGGAACCGGAGATTTCTAATAAGGTTGTTCCATTAAATGTCTGTCCCCATTACACGACAAACCCAAACTGAGCTTTTGCGGCGTCAGGGAGTCAGAGATTATTAACCCATGCTATTCGTCCATGCAATCTCTTTTGTCTTTTTATAACTTATACTTTGTTGAGTTATTTAAATATTAAAAGTTATGAAATAACTCATTGATTATAAAATATTGATTTGTTGAGTCTCTGAACTATTAAAAGTTATAAATTGATCACCCGATTATTCATATGTTTTAAACTCGTTCTTTTTCGTTAAAAATGACATCTGTCTTAGTTGGACGATAAAATGCTGACTAGGATATGATAAAATATGATTTCAAAATCTCAACGAATGTACAACTCAAACGGTTCTTAAGTCATTTTTTATCATATCTCAATCAACAGGTTACGTCCAAATCAGAAGACAGTCAAAATTTTAATGGAAAATGATGAGTTTGAACATATGAATAGTCAGTTGACCATTTTGTAACTTTTAATAGTTGGGGGACTCAACAAATTAACACCCTATAGTCAAAAGATCATTTTGTAACTTTTAATAGTCGAGGGACTCAATAAAATATTACCATATAGTCAAGTAAATGTATTTCGTCCATAAAATTATTACAATATTTATGATATAAAATAATTCACTCAATATCATGTTAAAAAAATAAATTTAATAAAAAATCAATCGAATACTTTTAAATTATAAAAATTTGTTAATGTCAAATAATATAGATAAACTAGAGCCCAAATCGTAAATATTAAATAATACAGGCACCATAAATGAAAATAACCCCTAAACAATATTAAGGATTAAAATAAAATAACCAGAAATATGGAGGACTAAACAATAATTAAACCACAAGTAACACAATGACTAAAATAATAAATTTTCAAATATCAAGGCCAAATTTGAATCATCAAAGAAAATACACAACTTTATATTAGTCACTAAAATGTAACATTTAAATATATATTATGACCAAACTCAAACATGAACAAAAAAATAACACGTCATAACAGGACAAAAACAGAAATACAGAAACATAAGTGCTCAAAACAAAATAAAATAAACTTTCGTTTAATGGATGAAAAGTAAAGTTACAAAGGTAGAGGGACTAATACGACTATAATACCCAAGCCCAAAACACGCTAAAGGTCCCCCTTAAACGACACCGTTTTGGTTTGTGTATTTAAACCCAAACAGCAGGCTCAATTCCCATTTTCCTCATTTCCTCCTTTGTTTCAGAAATAGAGAAGGAGAGAGAGATTCCAAAATCTCTCAACCTCCCCTAGTCAGGGAGAAGGAGCCACGACGGAGCTCGCGGTAGCTAGCGGCGGTGCAAGGCGACGCCGACAGTCAGAGGAAGCCAAAAGGACCCTCTTAACCTCCCTAACCCAAAACTAGACTTCCCTTAGCCCAAATCTCTTTCCCTTGTCCTAGATCTAAAGGATTTGAAATGATTACCATCGAAAAGGCAACACTTTCCGGTGACATTTGGACCTTCGGTGAAACCGACAATGGTAAGACCTCTTCTCTCTTCCTTTTCTTTCTTTTATGTGTGTTTCGAATCTCTCTGATCTCCCCTCTATTTTTCTCTTTTTTGTTTTTGTTTTTCAGTTCTCTTTTACCCGAATGCTCTCTCTGATTTTTTTTAAAAACCTCAAATCCTCTCTCTGTGATTTTTCTATCCCCTTTTGCTTCCTCTTATCTTCTTTCATTGGGTAGATGATATGATTTGTTGGATTGATAGCCGAATTGCCTTGGGATTTACTGGATTTGTTTTTGATTTGTTTTATATTTTCTCAGCTTTTCTGACTTTGGTGTGATTATTGGATGGACATTCAGTCACTGTAGGTGATAACACCGGGCGAGAAAAGTTTGGAGGTGGCTCGGCGGCCGGCTCACGCGTTGGTGAAACTGAGTGGTGGAGAAAACGCGCCGGCTGAGAGCTGGGGATTCACTGGTGGTAGTTGCTTTAGGGTTAGAGGAATAGGGTGGAAACCCTAATCTACTTAGGGTTACTAGGTCAGTTTGGGTCGGGTATGCTAAGTGTTGAGCTCCGGGATTGGGCCGGGTTGTTTGTAATTATCTGGGGTTGTTGGGTTGGATCACTTGTAATGGGCTTTGCGTTGGCCTGGGTTGGGCCTTTATAATGTAGTGGCCTGCAAAAGTTGTAATAAAATAAATAATAATAATAATTATCTTTTTGGTAGACCCAGAAAAAAAAACTGGTGTCTACAGCTGCCCCTCTTTGCACATTCTTGTGTTAACAAGAATAGGGCAAAGACGAAAAAGATAACCAGTTTTTGTCCGGTTTTCTTTTTTTTTAGAATGGATAGTTTTTGCGATTGCGGACGACATGGCTCATACGTGATGAAGAGGCATGGTCGTTTAAGGGTGACACGGCTCCTACGTGATAAGGAGATCTGGTCGGTGGATGACACGACTCATACGTGATGAAGAGTTTTGGCCATCTTTAGGGAGAGTGATAACACGGTTCCTACGCGATGAGGACGCTTATTATCTGGGGTGACACGGCTCCTACGTGATGAGGAGGTCTGGTCGGTGGATGACATGGTTCCTACGTGATGAGGATGACATACCATCTTTAGGGATGATAACACAGTTCCTACATGATTAGGATGACTGGTTATCAGGGGTGACACGGCTCCTACGTGATGAGGTCTGGTTAGGGGATGAAACAGTTCATACGTGATGAGGATGGTATACCATCTTTAGGGATGATAACACGATTCCTACGTGATGAAGACGGCTGGTTATCTGAGGTTGACACGACTCCTACATGATGAGGAGGTCTGGTCAGTGGATGACATGGTTCCTACGTGATGAGGATGACATGTCATCTTTAGGGATAATGGTTTCAAGAGAAACCGACTCAAAGATTTTTTTTGTTTTGTTTCAAGTGAAACATGCTCAAAAATTTCTCAAGAAAATTGTCTCAAGAGAGACAAAACTTTGTTTCAAGGGAAACAAACTCAAAGATTTTTTTTTTCAAGTGAAACAGACTCAAAGATCTTTTTTTGTTTCAAGTAAAATAGACTCAAAGATTTCTCAAAAAAACTGTCTCAAGAGAAAAAACTTTGTTTCAAGGGAAATAGACTCAAAGATTTTTTTTCATTTTGTTTCAAGTGAAACAGACTCAAATATTTTTTTTGTTTTGTTTCAAGTGAAACAGACTCAAAGATTTCTCAAGAAAACTGTCTCAAGAGAGACAAAACTTTGTTTCAAGGGAAACATACTCAGATTTTTTTTAAAAGAAAATGTCTCAAAAGAGACAAAATTTTGTTTCAAGAGAAACAATTTCAAAGTTTGTCTTAAGAAAGATTGTCTTAAATTAGACAAAGTTTGTTTCGAAAGAAATTGTCTCAAGTGAGACAAAATTCATTTTTTGCGAAAACTATCTCAAGCGAGACAAAATTTGTTTTTAAGAAAATTGTCTCTAGCGAGATGACACTTTGTTTCGAGAGAAACAACATCAAAGGATACTAATAGTCTGTTTGTTCGTGCTGGTGGAGGAAATGCCTTCAGAAGATCTGATCGTTCACATCTAGATGTTGAATCCCCAAAGTTGCCCAAACATTTGATGTTGATTGCTTCAAAGATGCCCCAATACTCGATGTTGATTGCTTCAGCACTGATTCTAAGCATGAGCTTTATGTCTGAGAGCCACATGTCAACTACCAAGATATATTCTAGAGAGATTGTCTTGTTTGAAAAGTGTTTTTCTTCTTCTTTTTTATTCTCAAAAGTCTGAAAATATTAATTAAAAGATTTTTAAAAAATGTTTAATCAAAGATTTGAAAATATTGCCCCTTCTAGGTTTTACAATTGACAAATCGTAAAATAAGAGTTCATTGGATATCAAATAATTAATTACACTATTAATTCTTCAATAAATTATAGCTATTTGACAAGTGTCAAGATCATTGATATCATTGAGAAATGGTTTAAGTAAGGAGAAGATAAAAATGTCTCAAGTTATTGTGTTTAGTCAAAGGTATGGTGTTCTCATTTATTTGTTGTTCACTGAACTGATAAAGTGGCTTTTGTACTCATTTATTGGAAGTGTTCTCCGAATCCCAGCTCTCATGATCTTATTCGGGTTGTGCGATGCCTTATCAAGGGATTTGTGCGATCGCCTCTTATGCAAAAATTGTACAGTCTTCATATTCGAGTCGCCTTTTGGTAATGACCGTGAATTATTTTGGGTAAACAATCAAGAGATTTTATTTTTGGTTTTGGATGGTATAAGAAAGGTCTAATCTTGCCTTATGTCAAAAATACATAATTCTTGAAGAATTAAGAGAATCCGTAATTTATTTTATATTCATAAAACTAAAGATTAAAACTCGTTCAATTATTCAACCTTAAAAGGTAGCATGAGATCAATCATTAAAAGATTAAGCAAATATGAAAGACATAACAAAAACGAGTTCAAACAAAACAATGCTCTCAATGTAAATGGTAGATGCAATGCCCTCATCCTTCTTCAATTGTCCATGCCCTTTAATTCATCAGGTTCTGGATCCTTACAGTTTTCAGCATAAAGTTTGGAGCTTCCTATGTGATATCAACATCATAGACCTCAGGATATGAGGACTCCTTTCTCAGATCATCCTGGAAGGCTCAGTCCTACAACCAGCTGAACAGGCTCCCACCGTACTGATTTATTCAAATCTTGCTTCAATATGGTGTCACATGATAAGGACCACTTCATCGAATCCTCCACAGATTAATATCACGTTTTCATGAAAGATACATGTGAAAACGTTTAAATGAATGCCATGCAGAATGCAAATGCAAAAGGTATCGATTTCCAAAAGTAACCATTAGAAATAGTTCCATTTCTCCAAAAGAGTTTTCATCTTTACAAGAGAGATAAATCTACGAATGCGATTTGGCCCTTTTATTTAGCTTCATGGTCTTGGTCATGATCCAAACAACTTTCTCTTATTTCCATAAATGACTTCAAATCCAAACGATGAGTAGTTGAGCGCAGCCTCTAAATTACCTCTCGAAGTTGAATAGAGTTGTATGCTCCTCTATTGTTGGTGTCCAATCTTATCCTTTGAAAGTGAGGACGTTGTACGCGGGATTCCAGAATCGGACCAAAGCTTTAAGCAATGGTTCATATATCTTTGCATAGAGGGGATGAGTCTTGTCACCATATTTCTTGTGAAACTTCTCTTTGGTAACTACTCTCCAATTCTCCCAAATCTCTATCAGCTTTTGTAAATTGTTATTTCTTGAAATTGACAATGAAATGTGGGCATCCATGATACATAATCCCCAGGCAAACTATCTCTTTTCGCCCTTTGCGTCTCTTCAAACCAAGCTCGAACCGCCGGATTGTGTTCTTCCTTGTTATGAAAACTATTTTCCTTTTTAATGGTCGCTCTTCTATTCTGATAATTACTTGGTTAATCAACTGCTTTCATTTATTTATGATTATCATATAGAATGCAAAGTTACAAATGCATATGCAAAAGTGATGATCCTCTTAAATGCAATGCAAAAAAGGATGAAAAGTGACACAAACAAAAGAAAAGAAATAAGTTAGTAACACAAACAAAAGAAAAAAAATGAATTAGTACCAACAAGATAATCAATATAGTTAAAAGATGCTATCTATAGATAAATATAGCACCTACCCAATCATGATATCTACCCGAGCATGCTTTTATTAGATAGCGATCCTACCCAAACATACTTTCTACCCAAAATAATTATTTTCAATGAAATGATCCTAATCGCATGGTATCTAGTTCGCATGCTTTTGTTCAACAAAATTTAAAGTAAAAGGAAAGGTTCAGAAATGCTCCTCCTTTGTGTACACTTAATTTGGATACCTACTGACGGGCAGAGGTTCGGTATGACTATACCTAGGGTGACCGTTCTATGGTTCAATATATGTGTGATTTCGGCTCTAACATAAAAGCATACCCGAATTATCTTTGTTGGTGCCTTCTTAGCCTGCCAAACCCTCAATCCTGGCCCATTATAAGCTCGTGTGGATCGAGTTCAATTTGAGAGGATACATTCCTTATGTCCGTGCGGAGAAATAATTTATCTAACGTAGACATAAGGTATATGAACCCCAAAGGTTACTTACTAAAACCCATACGGAGAAACAAATTATCTCACGTAGGCTAAGCTTTCACCTTAACTTAAAAGAGACAAAGCTCGTAAGTGAGCTTATGGTATGTACATGCACGTGTTGTGTGTGAGGAGAAACTCACAAACCTTTAAAACACGACAAAAAACAATACTCTCACAATTTCCAAAAATCTATTCGAATCTAAAAACCACTTAAATCAAATAATCAATTAGTTAAAAATAAAATAATGCTTAATATTTTAAAACTCAAAATAATCAAAAGGATCGTAAATTAAATACAATTTAATTTTGTAATTCCCAAATACAAAACAACATATAATCGTTTATGGCCTGATTCTCAAAATCCCAGCAGAGTCACCAAGCTGTCATAACGTTTCCCTGGGGGATCCGTTAGATATAAAAAATTATTTTTTGGGGGGAACGATGAAATATGATTTGAAAAATGATTTGAAAAACGATTTGATTTTTGAGTCGCCACCAACCATTAAGTTAGGTAGGTTGGAAATCTTAAATGATAAAAAATGGTCTGCGTAAACCAAAGATTTGTTTTTAAGAGTTCGGGAGTCGGTTACGTGTGGGGAACGGTTAGGACCCCACAACACCCAAATTTTGGCACCTAAACGATTATATGTTGTTTAAATATTGGGAATTACAAACTTAAAAATATATTTATATTACGATCCTATTATTCATTCAAATTTATTTAAAAAATGTGAACAATATTCGAGAAAACACTTCCTTTGTAGTTAGGAGACTTTCCCATAGATTCCCCACACAAAAATGTTATTTCATAAATTTTAGAAAATATAAAATAAAACAAAACAAAATAGCAGTTTGTGCGAAAACAAAAAGAAAATTATCGATATAAAAAATATTTGTGCGAAAAATCTTTGAAAAGATACCTTCCCTTATAGTCGGGAGGTGTCTTCGTATATTTCTCTTACAATGAATTTTTTTCATTTCATCATTTTTTTAATGTTGAAACAATGATAATTGGAAAATACAAAATAAAAATATTTACAATAAATAGAGATAAGCATATTTATTTATATATGATACAAATGAATATATAACATATAAAATGTACATACACAAGGGATTGAAATCAAAACAAATAAATGTTACAACCCAAAATGTAACATAAACTTCCATATCAGTCAAAAAAACCTATGAATGATATTTATATATCTTGTTCTCTATTTAAAATTTTAATATTAAATAGCTTGAACTTATGTTTTATTTAATTACATAGTAAGTGTAGACACCCGTTTTTGTCTGGGTCTACAAAAAATACTATTATTAATTATTATTATTATTATTATTATTACTATTATTATTATATTACATTTTTGCAGGCTCCATAAGCAAGCCCAATTCCGAGCCCAGTACAAAGGACCCAAACTAGATACAACCCAAACCAACAGATAGGACCCAAGCTCAGCACCCCAGCTCACCTGATTGGAACCCAACAACACTCAACCCGACCCGAAGGGACCTGAACCGGCCCAGTTTGACAACCTGATTCACCCTAGGATTTCTAAAACACTAGCTAGCTACTGCCGCCAGTCCCTACTACCCTCACCGATTATTCCCGCTACCGTCGACAACTCTGGCCACACATTGAAACCCATCCATTGAACAGTTACCACCTACAGTGCAAGATATCAGAACCCAAATAAAAAATAGAAAACAAATCACCCAAAATCCTGAGGGGATTTAACAGATATCAAATGCATAAATAGATAAAAAAAAGGACAGAGAGAAGATGGGGAACATTCGGGATTCAGAGATCAGAGGGGGAGTATTTGATCCAAACAGAAAAAAATAAGAGAAAAACAAAGGGATACCAATCAACTTATTCAAACCTAAAACAAAGAAAAAACCAAAAAGAGAGAGAGAGAGAGGGTTCTCACCTTGGTTCGAGTTCGTGAAACACCGAAGGTCAACGTGCTCTTTGTTTATTTCGAAGGTAACAACTTAGATCTACGAGGCTAGGGTGGTTTTTAGGCAAAAATAGGTTGGGGTTTCAAGTAAAGGGGCTGAGGGGAACCGTTTAGGGTATTCTTCTCTCTTTGGCCACTACCAGCAACGGTAGGTGTAACTCCCTAAAAATGCCATATTTTGGGCCTTTTCACTTAAATTATTGACTGTCTAAGATCTCATATATGATCATATAGATGCATTTAGGAGCATATAGTTGCAAGTGGTGAAAATATATTTTGTCGCAGCATTTTATTTTGAAATCGATGTTACGTTATGGGGAAGGTGCTTTGTTTGATGATGTACAGGATTTGGGAACACTGATTGGAAATACTGAGCAGAATGAGAATGTCGCGACAACTCGGAAGGCATTTCTGGGCAAAAAAGATAAAAGAATATATTTTTATTAAGAATAATGTATCATTATCTACACGTGATTTCTGCTGCCAGCCACATATGAGGGGCCCACTACCACATCTGCACCATCTCTCATGTGAAAGGAATGAACTTTAGGGTACTATGGTAATTTTGATACAAAACCCTTGGTTTATTGCCCACTATAAATAGGAGTTGAAGCCACCATATTAAGAGACTTGAATTTTGAGAAAATAGTGAAGAGGCGGCTGGAAGAAAAAAGTTCCTCCTTTTTCTGTCAATCATTTTTGCCGTGGCATTCCTCTATTAGCAAGCTCGAGGGATTGGCGAGCTAGGTGTCCAAGAGAAGCTAGCGAGCTAGGGTAGTTCGTGGTGGCCGAGGGGAGCTCCGACAGCGCTTCGAAGGTTTTTCCTCCATCCATTTGTTGTTTGGTTTCATTTATCTCATTTGGGTTGTATGGAACGGATTAATTTCATGACTTTTTGCTTGGAATATTCGAACCCCACCATGAATTAGTCTTATTTGGTGAGAGTTCCTTATGAATATTTAAGTTTTATTTTAATGGATGATTGTTTTTGTATGTTGATATTTGTTTTGCTTATGATGTTTAATGCCTTAAGGTTGTAGGAGCTATGAGAGTAGCCATTCCTTAGGAGATTACTTAGTGTTCAAGAGAATGACTAAGTAGCATATCCTTAGTGCTCGAGAGAAACTATGGAGGATCCACATAAGCAATGGGTTCTATATAGTAACTAGGCCTAATCTAACCTTAGAGATTAAGCTAGGATTTCAATCGACTAAAAGGAGTAGTGCTCCTTCGAGAAGTTAGATGCTAGTGATGCCGCTAAGTGGTATTACCATGACATATTATGTTATCTGAACCAATAGGATTCTTGCACTTGCTAAGTCCAATAGATTTTTCCATGGCATCCTGAACCTGTCGAGTTCCTTGACTAGAGATAGTGTAATATCTCAAATATCATACCATGGAATTTATCAAAAAGATTTGAAATTTTAAGATTAAATTGAATAAGTGGTAAAAGATGAGAAAAATATTTGGAATAGTGTTTAGACTAATTTGGATCTAAGTTAAGAGGGCACTTTGGTCTTTTAAAGGAAAATGAATTTAAAAATAGATATGGATTTTAAATAGGAAGAAAGAGGAAAGTAAAGTAATTCTACACTTCTTCTTCTTCTTCTCCACGTTGGTGTGCTCTCCTCTCTAGCAAAGATCAAAATCAAGCTCCCGAGTTAAGTAAAGAAAAAGGCAAAGGCCAAGTTCCAGAGTAATCATCTTTACATTTCGGATATCTAAGCAAGGCAAGCCAGATGAGTACATTTATTGTATACAATCTATTTAAGGACAATATGCAATAAATACAATTAGAATGTTTAATTTTTAAAGTATGTTTTATAGTAGTTACTAAGTTTTATTTAATGTATGGACAGAATATTATGAATGAGTTTTAGAGTATGAACTGCTCTAGAACGAATGATCAAAAGAATAATGCATATGGGTGCATTATTGGCATAAAAGGATGACTTAGCTGAAATGCATATGGGTGCATTATCGGCATAAAAGAATAATGCATATGGGTGCATTATTGGCATGAAAGGATGCCTTAGCTGAAATGCATATGGGTGCATTATTGGCATGAAAGGATGTCAAAGTTGAAATGCATATGGGTGCATTATCAACATAAAAGTATGCTATAATTGAAAATGCATAATGGTGCATGATAAATATGAATGGACGTTATTAATGAAAATAAGGAATAGTGACCAAGGATTATGACAATTTGAATGGAATATAGTTTAACTAAAAAGGATTAGAGAATCCTTAAAGAATATAAAATTCGATGTGAATTAAATAATATGACATACTTATGTATGCATAAAGGTTTCTTTACAATATTGTATCTCACTAAGTAAATACTTGACGTGTGTTGCTTTCACGCGTAGGTAAAAGCGGAGACTAATCCAGTAAGGAGTGCAGCCGTATCAGAAGATATCATCCCTTAAGGTTGACTCACCAGTAACATTAGGACAATAGTAATCATGTTGGAACTTTGTTTGGCATGTAATTAAATTTACCCAAATATTTTTTAATATAACTTAATGAGTACTACTTATTATGTTAATTTATGTGGAATTAAGATTACAACAAAATTTTAAAGGTTTTTCAAAATGAGTATACAATTTTTAAAGTGATGTAACATTTATATTCGTATACGGAAACGTATACGGGATATGGGTGTTACAGATAGCATAGGGCACCATAAGTAAACTATGTCAGGAAAATACGGCATAGAAGTAAGACCATCTTGAGAAGTAACTTAAGTTTCCTAAGTGACTCCTATCATTCATTTCCAAAGTAGCTTGTTGTGTAAGGATTGTCAAGTCATTTTATTAAAATCCAGTGTTTACATTTTGTTTTGCCTTTACATTTTCATTTGATTGCACTAAACACAATTTAATTTGTCACATCTCCATTTGCTACCATATTACATTACACCATCATTCCATTCCCACCAACATCCATATCAATTTGCCACAACATTCTTATTTGTATACACCATCACTAACTATACTTAAATAAAATAGATAATTACTTTGATTGAACTTATAAATTTCCTCCAATCCCTATGGATATGATACTCACTCATCACTTTATTACTTGTTCGATTGTGTATAATTGCACATATTTTCGTGATCATATATAGTAGTCACAATTCGTGGATAAGTTTTTGGCGCCGTTGCCAGGGATTGGCAACTGGAAGTTAATTAGTTTAGTCGTAGCATTTTTATTTTACTTATTTATTTTTTATATAGTTTTACTTTTTATTTTCCTTATCTTTTTCAGGTTTTTCTTGGTGTATGACTAGAAGAAACTCTGACGAGCCATTAGAACCAATTGAACCTCAATATGCAAACATGTATCAAATTGGAAATCAAGGTATTGGTCATAAAAAAAGATCCAAATGCTGGGAATAAAGTCAAACCTCGTGCCATTCGTGATCACTTAAATCCAATCTTGGACAATTTAAATCCAGGAATTATGGCACCCGAGATTCAAGCAGCCCATTTTGAGCTCAAACCTATCATGTTTAATATGATAAATTCCATAGGGAAATTTGGGGGCATGCCAAATGAAGATGCCAGACAACATATTCGTAACTTCTTGGAGGTGTACGATTCTTTTTGTAAACAAGGAGTACATGAAAATGTGTTAAAGTTAAAGTTATTTCCATATTCTCTGCATGACCGAGCAAGGTCTTGGTTGAGTGGCATTCCAGCAGGTTCGATGGAGTCGTGGACTGGCCTGTGCAAAATTTTTTGCTACGATATAATCCTCCGAAAATAAACACCCAACTGAGGAACGACATTACTTCTTTTCGTCAAGTTGATGATGAATCAATGTATGAATGTTGGGATTAGTATAAAGGATTACTATGTAAATATTCAAATCATGGTTTTCAAGATTAAAATCTAGTGGTAATGTTCTACAACGGAGTTAATGAGCCCACGAGGATGATACTAGATGCCTCGACAAATGGGACATTACTCGATAAATCACCTGCAGAGGCATTTGACATTCTGGACAGGATTGCCAACAATGATTATCAATTCCAATGTACAAGGCTTGGAATTGGGCGAAAATCACATGGAGCGTTCGAGCTAGACACTAAGGATTCTGTGTCCGCCCAACTTGCTGCTATCACCAATATGCTAAAGAATTTACAAATACCAAGTGAGGTGAAAGAAGTGAAGGCAACCAACTATGCATGTTTATTATGTCATGGCAATCAGCATGAGAGTGAGTGCCCAACCAATCAAGAATCCATCAACTATGTGGGAAAATATAATCGAGCCAACAAAAAACCCTATTATAACACATATAATCCTGGATGGCGTCAACATTCAAACTTCTCGTGGGGAAATCAAGGAACGATCAATGCTAACCAACCTATTCGATAATAGAATTTTAATGTCTCCCAAGGTTTTCAAACGAATATACCATGGCATAATTCTAACAAGGGAGGGTCATCTTCATCTAACACAAGTTCTTTGGAGGCCACAATACAAGAGTTCATAGTAACCACAAAGACCATTATGCAAGACCATACGACCTCCGTAAAAAACCAATGAGCCTTGCTTTAGAGCCAGAGTTCATCTCTGAAGGCGTTGGAGGGTCAGGTTGGTCAAACTGTTGCGACATTACTAGAACGACAACCAGGTTTCTTCCGAGTGACACTGAAGTCACCAAAATTCATGGCAAAGAACAATGTAGTGTACTAACTATGCGGAGTGGTACCCAAATCAATGTGAAAGACAAGTTTATGGGAAAACCGAAGAATGATTTACCCACTGTAACCGTGCAAGCTGATCAAGAATTGCTAGAAGAAACACCAGTGGAAGAGGATAAGGATGAGGGTTCATCGAATAAAGCAACTGAGGGGAATAAGTCCTAATTCATCATTACAGCATGCACCTACACTAGAGTTAAAGAATTTGCCACATCTTAAATATGCTTATCTGGATAGTAATGAAATTGTACCTGTTATTATTTCCTCTGTCCTTACTTCTAACCAAGAATGCATTTTGTTAAGAGTTTTGTCACAGTATAAAAGAGCGTTATGATAGACTCTGAAAGATCTGAAGGGAATAAGTCCTACCATTTGCATGTACAAGATCCTGCTGGAAGAATGTCATGGCAAATCCATAGAACCACAAGAAGATTAAACCCAATAATGAAGCAAGTTGTGATGAAAGAAATTCTCAAAGGGCTTGATGCTGGAGTGATTTACCCCATCTTTGATAGTTCTTGGGTGAGTCTAATCCAAAGTGTGCCAAAGAAGAGAGGCACGACTGTGGTGACAAGTGAAGACAATGAGCTATTACCAACACACACTGTCACCGGGTGGCGAATATGTATGGACTACTGCAAACTCAACAAGGCCACTAAGAATGACTACTTCCCTTTTCCTTTCATCGATCAAATGCTGGATCGACTGGCTGGCAATGAATATTACTATGTCTTGGATGGATACTCAGGGTATAATAAACTTTCCATCGCACCAGAGGACCAAGAGAAGACAACATTCACGTGTACCTATGGCACTTATGTGTTTCGAAGAATACCTTTCGGACTCTGTAATGCCCCAGCAACCTTCCAGCACTGCATGCAAGCCATATTTTCTGACATGGTTGAGGATTTTCTAGAAATTTTTATGGATTACTTCTCCATTTCTGGAAATGACTTCGAGAAATGCCTCAGCAATTTGGCAAAGGTACTCATGCAATGTGAGGAGGCCGATCTCATGCTGAATTTAAAAAAATGTCATTTCATGGTGACCGAAGGCATTGTTCTAGGCTATAAGATCTCTAAAAAGGGCCTTGAAGTGGATAAAGCTAAAATCGAGGTGATCGAAAAGCTACCCCCACCAATTTTTGTCAAGGGCATTAGGATTTTCCTTGGACATGCTGGATTTTATAGAAGATTCATCAAGGAATTCTCCATGATATCCAAGCCCTTATGCACCCTGCTTCAACAAAATCAGCCTTTTGTGTTCAATAAAAATTTTCATGTTGCATTCACCAAGCTGAAACAAAGACTTATCTCTACACCTATCGTAGTTCCCCCAGATTGGACGTCACTGTTCAAGTTAATGTGTGATTCAAGCAATTTTGTCGTGGGAGTTGTGCTTGGGTAACGCAGAGGTAAAATTTCCATGCTATATATTATGCTAGTCGTACCTTGAATGAAGCACAGCTGAACTATACTACCACTGAGAAAGAATTACTTATCGTGGTAATCGCATTTGACAAGTTTAGGCCATACTTGATAGGCACCAAAGTCACTACTCACACTGATCACTCAATTATAAAATACTTAGTGAACAAGAAAGATGCCAAGCCTAGACTTATTAGGTGGATATTACTACTGCAGGAATTTGACTTAGAGGTAATAGATAGGAAAGGTACCGAAAACCAGGTTGCATATCATATATCTAGGCTAGAGAGCAATTATGAATGCCATGACATTTTAGATATTCAAGAAGAATTCCCTGATGAGAAAATTTTATGTGCCACGGCAATCCCATAGTACGCTGACATTGTTAATTTTCTTGTTAGTGGTATTTTACCTTATGAATTGAAAAGCCAGGGCAGGAAGAAGTTCCAGCATAATGCCAAGTTCTACTTTTGGGACGAGTCGTACTTATTTAAACAATGTGTCGATCAAATGATTTGACAATGTGTCTCGAAGGAGGAGCAAAGAGACATTCTACACCATTGCCATACAGACCCCTGTGGAGGACATTTCAGAGGTGCGAGGACTGCTGCTAAGGTCCTCGAATCAGGCTTTTACTGGTTGTCCTTGTTTAAGGATGCTCACGAGTTTTGCAAAGCATGTGATATATGCCAACGTACTAGGAACATTTCTAGACGACACAAAATGCCATTGTAAAATATTCTGGAGATCAAGCTCTTTGACGTATGGGCCATTGACTTCATGGGACCATTCTCATATTCTTTTGGAGACTTGTATATTTTGTTTGCTATGGATTACGTAACTAAGTGGGTTAAAGCAATTGCCACACTAAGGAATGACTCTAAAACCGTGCTCAAGTTCCTTCACAAGAACATCTTTACTCGATTTTGAGCACCAAGAGTCATCATCAGTGACAATGGCACTCATTTTGATAACAAGCTAATTTCCAAGGCATTACAAAAATATGGATTGCAACATAAAATTGACACGGAATATCACCCACAAACTAAAGGGTAAGCTGAAGTGTCCAACCGGGAAATCAAGCAAATTCTAGAGAAGGTGGTGAACCCTATAAAGAAGGATTGGTCACCGAAGCTGGACGAAGTGCCCTGGGCTTATCGGACGGCATTTAAAACACCTTTGGGAATGTCACCTTTCAAGATGGTACATGGGAAAGCATGCCACTTACATGTGGAACTAGAACATAAGGCATTCTGGGCGATCAAGAAGTTGAACTTCGACGCACAATTAACTGGGGAGCAAAGATTACTCAATCTGAATGAAATAGAAGAGTTTCGAGCACAAAATATGAAAATGCCAAGCTTTACAAAGAAAAAACCAAGAAGTGGCATGATAGAATGCTTTTTCCACGACATTTTCATATTGTCCAGAAGGTGCTCTTGTTTAACTCGAGGCTGAAGCTCTTCCCTGGAAAACTGAAGTCACGATGGTCAGGACCATTTGAAGTACAACGTGTTTACTCTCATGGCACTGTGGATATCAAGAATATGGATGATGGATCTATTTTCAAAGTTAATGGCCAGCGTCTGAAAGCTTATCAAGGAGATCCTCCCATGCGTGATAAATATGCACTCTTCTTGCACGATATCAAAACCTGCTAAGCATCTTGAATATGTCATTACATTTTGGATTTACTCATGTGCACAAATAAAAATTTATTTTGTTATTGTTTTATTCAGTTTCCTTTTAAGTGATTATTTTATCTTCTTTGCAAGGTTAGGGTCCACGCAACAGGCATGTGATGACCGTACGGTTAAAGCAAAAGAGAATGGGCGGCAACAAGACAAAAAGATGAGGGAAACTTATTCACTTTTTCACCTTTTTGAAATTTTTTTCTTTAGGGTTTACTTAATTATTTTTGTTCTTTTTCCCACTAACACCCTATCCACACGTTAAATAACCCCCACATTTTTACTTCTTTATCTTGTTCTTATCCTTTTTACTTTCTCACTTAGCTTTCATCTCTTCTTCTTCTTCCCTCTTTAACATCGAAAGCCATAGCCAAAAAGCTTTAAGATTTTTCATCTTTTCTTTGTCTTGTCAACTAACCATGGTGCGATCACGTCCCTCTAGCACGACTCCATCATCTTCATCATTTGTTGATGAAGCAGCGCAAGAAAGATTTCAAAGCCTTAAAAACCATCGGGTGTTCTTTGATTTGGGTTTCGTTTTCTCCGACAAGGAAGATGCTAACCTTGGCAGTGATGTCATGGACACTGTACACTAGCACTAGTGGCAAAACTTTGCCAAGCATCAGGAGAATGTGAACGCGTCACTAGTGAAGGAGTTTTACACTAACTTAACTGATCCAAATGAACATGTTGTGGTGGTTCATGGTATTTCTATTTACTTTACTTCTTCAGCTTTTAATCGTTATTTAAACTTGC